ATTAAGGTAATTAACAGCCTGCATTAAGGTAATTAACAGCCTGTATTAAGGTAATTAACAGCCTGCATTAATCACCTTTCTGGGAGCGGCTCCATCCAGCTGTGCTGGGGATGTTTCTGTCCTGTTTCACCCCATCCCTGCCTTGCTATTCCCTGCCTCAGCTAAAGACAGGAATTCAATTCCAGCCAGGAATTCCATGTTCCACTCCATAAATATGGAATTATTCCTCATTCCAGGCCCGGACCTGCACTCAGATACACAAACTCCATCTCTGTTGTGCTGCTCGGAGCTGGATCAGTTGTGTCCCTGATCCCTGGTGTGAATGAAGATTTTGCCTGTTCCAACCTCACTTCTCCCTCCTCCCTGGGCACTTTGCACTTTTACCCCTCCCTGTGCACTTTTCCCTCTTCCCGTGTACTTTACCTCTTCCTTGTGCATTTTACCCCTCCCCTGTGCATTTTTATCCCCTCTTTGTGCACTTTTACCCCATCCCTTTGCACTTTTACCTCCTCTCTGTGCATTTTACCTCTTCCCTGTGCATTTTTTCCTTTTCCCTGTGCACTTTTCCCCCATCCCTGTGCACTTTTCCCTTTCCCTGTGCACTTTTCCCTTTTCCCTGTGTATCTTTACCCCCTCCCTGTGCACTTTTACCTCGCACTTTTCCCCCATCCCTGTGCACTTTTCCCTTTCCCTGTGCACTTTTCCCTGTGCATTTTTATCCCCTCCCTTTGCACTTTTCCCTGTGCACTTTTCCCTATTCCCTGTGCACTTTTTCCTTTTCTCTGTGCATTTTTACCCCCTCCCTGTGCACTTTTACCCCCTCCTTGTGCATTTTTCCCTCTTCCCTGTGCACTTTTACCTCTTCCTTTGCACTTTTTCCTTTTCCCTGTGCATTTTTCCCTTTTCCCTGTGCACTTTTTCCTTTTCCCTGTGCACTTTTTCCTTTTCCCTGTGCACGTTTCCCTTTTCCCTGTGCACTTTTCCCTCTTCCTTTGCACTTTTACCCCTCCCTTGCACTTTTCCCTTTTCTCTGTGCATTTTTACCTCTCCCTGTGTATTTTTACCCCCTCCTTGTGCATTTTTCCCTCTTCCCTGTGCACTTTTTCCTTTTCCCTGTGCACTTTTACCCCATCCCTGTGCACTTTTCCCTTTCCCTGTGCACTTTTTCCTTTTCCCTGTGCACTTTTCCCTTTCCCTGTGCATTTTTCCCTCTTCTCTGTGCATTTTACCCCCTCCCTGTGCACTTTT